GAAGATGTGCCGTAATTTCCCGAACGCTGCCCAACCGAGTTGAATCCGTCGATTGACCTCTCGGTCGAAGTTGGACTTACCTAGTCGGACTATTTGTCCCAGGTAAACATACTCGTCAACAACTTCGAGCTTAGTGTTCCCAACAACTACCGGCATAGGTGTGACATGGACATTAAACATGATCTTAGTTTTGTCCATGTTCATCTTAAGACCTATCCGTTGGGAAACACTATTGAGGTCATTGAGCATAGTGCTTAGGTCCTCCCGCGATTCTGCCATAAGGACTATATCGTCGGCAAATCGAAGGTGAGTGATGTACTCGCCATTGATGTTGATACCGTATCCTTTCCAGTCCAGAAGCTTGAAAACGTCTTCCAATGCAGCGGTGAAGAGTTTCGGGGATATGACGTCACCCTGTCTTACACCTCTCTGCAATTGGATAGGTTTCGTACTCTGGTTCTGTACTCGGATAGCCATCGTAGCCCTACTGTACAAGCACTTCAACACTTCGATATACCGACAGTCAACTTGACACCGCTGAAGGGACTGCAGCACCGTCCAAATTTCGACGGAATCAAAGGCTTTCTCATAGTCCACATACGCCAAACATAGTGGCAAATTGTACTCTTCGGACTTCTGTACAATTTGCCGAAGGGTATGTATGTGGTCTATGGTGCTAAAGCCCTTTCGGAAACCGGCTTGTTCTGTAGGCTGGAAGTCGTCAAGTCTGCGCGCGAGACGATTCGTAATGACTCTCGAAAACAGCACGTAGACGCGGCTCAGAAGGGAAATCGGTCTGTAGTTCTTCAAGTGGGTGTTGTCACCTTTCTTGAAGAACAAGACCACCGCACTTCTGCTCCACGCCTCCGGTGTAATGCCACCATGGAGGACGGAATTAAAGAGCTTCTGAAGGACTTCAAGTACCGGTTTTCCACCCGCATTCAGAAGCTCCGCTGTAATTCCATCCTCGCCTGGGGCCTTACCGTTTTTAATGTGCTGGAGAGCCATTCTAATCTCGCTCAGACTGACGTCCGGGATATCTTCGGAATAGTGTCAGATGAGACTCGCTCTTGGATCGTTACTCACACTTGCGTGTGGCTCCAACGATGACGTGTACAACTGCCCATAGAACCTCTCAATCTCACTCAAAATCTCAGGTGTCCCGGAAACGATGCTGCCGCACTCTGTCTTCAGCTTTGACAGTTGGCTCTTTCTGGCAGACAGATCTCTGGCAAAGACTTTGGAGCCTTGGTTCCGCTCGATCGCTTCTTCAATACGAGCTGTATTGAAGTTGCGTAAGTCCCGCCGCATGCATTTAAGATCTGTCTGTTCAGATGCCTGTATGCTGTCATGTCTGTTGAAGAATGTAGCTTCATCTCCCGTCTAACAGCCATGAGATTAAGAGTGTGATTGGAGAGTTTTTGTGTTCTTCTGTGGCGGGTCTTGCAGAACTTAGCTCCGACCGCATGGACAGTTTCCACGAGCTTGTCATTCATATCGTCCACTTCATTGCAGTCTTCTAGGCACTGAAAACGGTTTTGTAACTCGAGCTGAAAGGTTTCGGGACTTTGGATTAGAGCACGAGGGGGACGGAGCGTTGACTTTATTAGACGAGACCTCTCCAACTTAACGTTTAGGTTCAGTGTGCCTCTAACCATTCGGTGATCGCTACCAGTTTTCACCTTCGCGATCACGGAGACATCACTGAACAGTTGTCGTCTGGTCGTCATAATGAAGTCAATCTCATTTTTTGTCGAACCGTCGGGGCTCGACCAGGTCCACTTCCTGTGGGGCCGCTTCTGGAAGAAAGAGTTCATCATAAAGAGTCCCTCTTTCTCCATGAAGTCGGCGAGCTGCTGGCCCCTTGGGTTCCGTTGCCCTATTCCAAATTTCCCTACTTTCAGTTCACCGTTCTCTCTTGTGCCTAGTTTTGCATTAAAGTCTCCCATTAACACCGTATATTGGGTTTTGGAGGAATGCATGGCTCTAGAGATATCCTCATACATTTCCTCCACCTCCTCATCGGGGTGTGCCGAGGTTGGTGCGTAAACCTGTATGACCTTCAGCGAATACCGTTTGGTGATTCTGAGTATAAGGTACGCAACCCTCGTCGACACACTCCCGATCTTTACAACGTTGTTAACGAGAGACTTGTGGACGATAAATCCGACACCTCCTTGGGACAGATGGTCGCCCTCCCGGTGATAGAGCAAGTTGCCGGATTCGAGGATTACCGTGTCCTCCCCCTCTCTTCGGACTTCGGATAATCCTATAATATGCCAGCGCAACTTGTCTATCTCTTCTTCCAGCTCCACGATCTTCTCGTCAGTCCTCAGGGTGCGTGCGTTGTACGTTGCCAGGTCGAGTCGTCTAAGGTGGCAACCGAACCTCCACCGGAGATTCTTAGCACCCCCTGCCCCGCCGTTACCATGGTCGCCACCGTAGCCAGGAATAGCGGGGCCGCCGGGGACTGGGGGCCGTTTCTTTGTTACTGTCATTCATAGGGGGGTATTTGCCATAGTTGCCACGCTTGGCGAGCGGGTTGGCAACCGCAGTTTTTTTTTATTGTTAGTTTGTTGTTATCAAGAAGATGCTGCTGCCCATCTCCTGCCTGTTTCCCTTTGTCGCCTTTTACGACACCCACGGGAGGATATGGGGTAGTGGATATTCTTGACCGCCACTACACGGCACATACAGACCCATATATTCAAATCAAAACACCGGGGGCGCGCAACCGTCTAACGGTCGCAAACAATACTCAAAACAGTTACAACAATAATTATATGATATTGGCCTCGTTATTACGAAAAACAAATTAAGACAACACCGTAGGAGGCGCGCGACGGACCGACGCGCAACAATTTATACTCAATTATATGATATTGGCCTCGTTATCACGAAAAACCAAATTAAGATAAAACCGTAGGAGGCGCGCGACGGACCGACGCGCAACAACGTTTATTCCATCCTAGTAGACAGAGCCGCAGCGTTCCAGAGACACTCTCTCAGCCTACACGGCCGAGACCACGGGAAGCGGTACACGGCCGCCCCACCCCGGCGGCGTTTACCTCACCTCGATACCATCTGGTGACGCGCTGAGCGCGCTTATTCGATGCAAATTTCAAATGCACATTTTTGGCCTAAACACTTACTAACGTAACACGCAGTGTTGCACTGCCCGCGTATCGAGAAAATAATAAATGTGTTATTTAAAACAATTAGGTAGGTAAAATATTTAAATCTTTCGCGGACCATATTTAATCTGTTGATAATCACTGCACTATACGGAGTGACAACCTGGTAAGAAATACAGGTACCCAATGGATGCAGAATGCTCAGTATCGTGCTGGAGTTCCTTACGGTAAGCTTTATACGACCATTGCTGTGAGAACAATTTTTTTCAAGGGCTAGTTGAAAGCTATCACCGTCACATCTGCCTCCGTAATTGTCGAATCTCTGGAATTCAAAGATTTGATCTTTAATTTTTTGGAAAAAAAAGAAATCGCATGTTGATAGGTCTGGACTGAGCGCGGGATGGGTCACGAGCTACACCTTTTCAGAAGCCAAAAATGACTTTGTCTTGTTCGCGGTGTATCACTTAGCATTAACTGTTTTTGCTTTTCCTTGCATCAAGTGAGATCGTGCTTTAAAAATAGTTTTGTCACTATCAACTCTAGCCTGCTTTTATTCTGGGGTTCACGAGGAATCCAACAAGGTTTTCTAACTTTAAATATATAAATTTATTTATTTTTGAATTTTGTATAAATGTCCCGCTGGTTTTCTTCCCAGGCTAGATAATTTTTCCGAACCAGTGGAAAAAGTAAATAATTACTTTCAATAGCTATTTCTGTAATATTTATTCAACAAAAATGATTTTATTCTATTCTATTTTATTCCATATGTCCGCAAATCTCCTCATAGTCATGCACCGGTTTTGTTCAATTAGTCGCCTGACTGTAATCAGATTTCTCTCAGTGATCGAAGTTTATTAACTATTGTCCGACCTTCACAAATTTCGTCATGGAGACAAACTCTGCACACAAACGTCTTGCGGTGCTCAAAAGCATTTTGAATACGAACAGTGCTATCTTGCGGAGAGAATAAACTTGTAAAATGATAAAAAATCATTGCCCTAAAATCTCGCGTTACTCCAAGTTTGCTACGGATGATTAAAAAAAATTATTCAATTTGAAATTTAATAAAAAACAGGCGACTTCCCGCCAAAAATTATTTTAATAATTATATGAGTTTCTGTTTTTAAAGATATAAAATTCTAAATTCAAACATATACGAGTGGCCAGGAGTGCAGAAATTTCGGCGTGCTCACACCATATATGCACTTCTTCCTAATATTAAGAGTGAAGTAAATTTACAGCAAAATATGTCACACAGCTAGGAACAGGCCTCCTTTCATTTCAGAAAAGGTTATAAACGAAATATCCGGAGAGCGCTTAGCTTCTGGGCTATCACGGCAGTATTAACACGAGTGATTTAATCAAAATTCACAATCCGGCAACGAGAACGGTTTCACCAAAACAAAGTTTAAATAATAAATTCAATTAAGAATAGTCATTAATCGAAGAAACAAAGAAAGATATTTTTACCTTATCCTGGGTAGATCCTGGGTAGATAGATGTAGATCTCTTGATAGTTGTTGTTTTGTATTTGATAATTTTTTGTTGTAAATGAAGTTTATTGTAAATAATAGTAATAGAAAATATAATTATATTTCATCGCTTCATTTTTCAGATATAATATTTACCACGTAGTAACTTAAACCTACAGGTGACTTTGCACGCTTTAAGAGACAGTCAATTGACTCAAAACAAAAGTGGCGGCATACTTCCGCTACTGTCTTGTCTTGCCAAGCGGAGCCGTGCCGCTCAGAGCTCATTCCTTTTTCGTGCATGGTGACGACCACACGCATTTTACTGGAAGTTGTGATAGTTTCCTAAAAAATATATAACTACATTTTGACGTAACAAAGTTAAGTTTTAGCAATGCCGAAACGAAGTACTGACGAAAAAATCGATCTTTATCTAAAGAAAATTCAAAGATTAACGGCTGAAAAAAGTGTTGTACGACGACGATGGCGAGTGCGTGTTATTTCGAGTGATTCTTCCGAAGCAAATGAAGGTTAGTTTTACTATTTTCTTTTTTATAATTTGCCTCTGTTTCGCAAAATATGGGGACTGACTGCGAGTCATACCCACATAACTTCTGTATAAGGAGTTGACATTAAATAATAACGTTGTATAAGTCCTATCGGGGTTGCTGCGAGTTTTCAACGATAAGTGATGACAACGTCTAATTAACATTAGTGTTAATTCTTGGCTTAATTAACCCTAAAACCTATGTTTTAGGTTGTGGCGAAACAACGCAGCGCATAGCAACCGCCGAGGTCCACCGACCGCCTTCGGGAAAAATAGATCCCTCATGGAACGATGCTGCGGGTGCCTCCCCCGAGGCAGAAATACCACGAGATATTGAGGCAGAAACACCACGTGATAATGAGGCAGCATCACCTTGTGATAATGCAGAACTCATGGCAAAAATTCCTATTTCTATGCCAGAGCATCCACTGCCAATGCCAGCTGCCGTGCCAAATGAGGCCGGACAGTTTTTAGAAGCGTTATCGTATGAATTGGAGTTAGACCCTGATTTATTGGAGGCTCTAGGTGAATCCATAGATGCCGCTCCTGTATTTGGACCTAAAATTCATGATAGTTTGGCAAAACTATGGCTCCCTTTACTGACAAAAGGCATGACTAAAGAGAATAAAGATAAGAGTATGAAACAATACCTGATACCAGATAATTGCCGGTTTTTACAAGCCCCGAAAATAAATGGAGAAATTTTCTCGGCCATTCCGGAAGAAGTCCGTAACAGAGACAAAGGACTTTCATTTCATCAACAACAACTCGGTTGTGGCATTACGGCCATAAATAGAGCATTGGATTTGCTTTTAAGGAGGGACAATAAAAAGGGAGCCATCCAACATCTCAGTAATGGCTGTCGTATATTGTCTGACCTGCATGCAACATCCACTCAGACTCGTATAAAACTTATTACTCCGAGTCTTGACAAGAATTTCCATCACGTGATCCAGGATACAGAAAGAGCGAAACCTTGTTTGGTAATAAACTTTCTGAGAAAATTAAGGCAGCAAAAGCAATAGAAAAACAAGGTTTACAAATTAAAAAGACGAATATTTCAAAGGCTTTTAATTCGTCGCAGTCGCCGGGAATTCGTCCATACAGTTCGGGAAACTGGACAGCCCCTCCTCGTCGCGGGCGAGGAGGGTCGAAACGAGGCAGTGGCAGCCGTCGCTACCAGAGCACAGCGAGATTTTAGCGTTTGTATTCAAGTAACTTACTAAATTTAATATTCCTAAAAAGGTTTTTTGCATCTGAACTAAACGACACGTGCCGATAATATACCCTACGTTCTCTGATACGGCCGATACATTATTTCTCAAAGCCAGCTGCTGCGCGGCGTGCACCCGCAAGGTTTATGTGTGAATAGTCCCCTTAATAGTATCTTTCAAGATGGCGGATCATATCTTATATGTTGCCACCATTGCGGCTAGATTTTACTGCCAAGGAGAAATAATTTACTTAATTCGTGTTTTCTTTAGATATATGGGTATAATGTTATGGTTTGTAAAATAAACTAGGTGTAATGAAAATGTTTTTCGTCTAAATTTACATATTATTATAATATTAGTGCTAAATCTATAATGGATATTTCCAATTTTTTTTTCTAGATACAGTTATTCTCAAAGACTTTAAATTTAAAAATGATAGAAATAATAATGAAAATATTTTTAATAATGTGCTAGCAGTTGGAAAAATTCCATATTCCTTCATGAATACCTAATAATATTTAATACATAAATGTTCGCGTAAATATAAGAAAAAATAATTAATTTGTTCATATTTATTTTATATTATAAATTATCTTACAAAAAACATTTTACAAAGTCACTTAACGAGAAAAATTCTTAGTTCCGCTACGTAGATGACGATGTTTTGGCGAGTTCTAACATATACATTGTTCATTTATTCATTACGATCTATCAAAGTCGACTACTGAACATAAGCCTATCCAACGGATAAACTCGTAAGGGGGTATTTTTTATAGATTTCACTTTTCCAAGGCGGGTTGGCAACCGCAGTTTTTTACTTTGGATCTAGTTGTTCTCCTAGTGTCCATCTGCCGCCTTTTACTACACCCACGGGATGATTGGGAGTAGTGAATTTTCTTTCACCGCCAATGTACATTGTCATTGAATACTTGTGTTATAAACCACGTTATTACATTTGGGATAAATATTTAATAAAAGTTTGTTTCAAGCATTAAATGTCGTGATTAATTTCAAACTTGCAACTATTTGTAGGTGAAATGTATTATGCATTTTTCATGTGAAACTTTATTCGATAAAGAATATGTAACATAAATTATTTTTAAAAAGAGCCATATAAGAATGCAATAAACAAAACAAAATTACTATAAAATAAGCGGCGTTTCGCTCGCTCCTCAAAATCAAACCCGTTACCCGCTCGTCATCGTAGGGCTTTAGTATAGGAAAATCCCCAAAATTTACACGCACTTCGAGTTTAACGTGGTAGAGCCATGCTGCAGCTATATTAATAGTATAGTTGTGGCACGAATAGGTCAGCTCGACCGGAGAATGACTACACAGAATACCAGCGTAAAATAGTAGCTTAATGCTGCTGTGTTTCGTATGGTGAGTGTGGAGAACCGGAGACATATTTTACTGGAAAAGAGGCATTCTATCTTAGTCCTCACGGCTGAGAACTGCATTTTAAGTCGCAAACGGAGGTACATGTAGATGTCTATGGGCCACAGCAACCACTTACCGTCAGGTGGACTGTGAGCTCGTTTGTCACCCTAATTCTATAAAAAAAAGTGTGTGCAAAAGTATCGTCCAGTATATGCCAATTGACTTATATTGACCCCGTCTTCTTAGTAGTTATTTTAAAATATGGAAAGTTAATTAAACATAAAATTTTGTCACAATTCAGTTGTCATGAAAATCTATAGACATAAGTGTTGTTTATCAACGACCCATAAAAAAATGCCTCTGTTAAATTAAGGTTTTGTATTTTCTTTAGCTATTTAAAATAGAAAAGGCCGTTTTAAGTGTTTTTACCATTTTTGACGATTTTTTATTTATTTATTCTTTATTGTGTTACACCTTAATCGAAGGACAACAATGGGCGGACTTACTCGTAATGCCTTATGGCACTCTCTCCTAGTCAACCCTGAGAGAATTAAACAAGAAAAAGTTGGTAGGTTTCAAAAATGTTAAAAATTACTAGACATATATTGTATATAAACATAAAATTTATTCGCATCCGTTCTAATAATACATATAGAATAATAATATAAATTATGAAAATATTAAATAATAATTATATATAATAAATAATATAATAAATATTGCATATATAATATAACTAAAAATAAAAATAGAAATCGACGGTCAAATGTAGTTTTCCTTAAGATAATGTTGTCAGACCAGTTTCTTAAGCGCATGCTTATTCGGTATTTTTCTTATATCAACAGACAGGGCGTTCCAGAGAAGTATTGCCTGAACCGTAAATGAAGAATTAAAGAAACCAGTACTATCCTTAGGTATATGAATCTTAAGGAGAAACCTGAAGTGAAGAAAACCGAAAGTGGAAGTTATCTTTAAGATAAGAAGGATATGACGGATCATTTAATATAGAAAAAAGGGTTAGTAAGATTCTGGAGCAACGCCTCTGACGGATAGAAAGCCATTTAAGTTTGGAACGAAAAGCGTCGTATTTTCGTAAGTTGAAGATAAATCTTATACAGTTGTTGAAAAGCGCTCCAACTTCTTAAATTTTTTCTCGAAAATCAAGACTCTTTTTATAAATATCACGCGGTGAAAGTAAATACTCATCTATTAACTAACTGAGATTTTCTATGGTGTCTTTCAATGGAGTCAGTTCTTTAATATTTTTAAAATCGTACCTGCCCATTTGTGCGTTTCTTTAGGACCGGCCTCTTAAGAGTCTATGTATATATAGCCCAAATACTCAAACGCTGCTCAATTTTAAGATGCCGTGAAGTGTTGTGCTGTCTTGCGACACCAAGAGACTTAACGACATCTTAAAATTGAGCAGCATTTGAGTATTTGGCCAAAAGAGTGTTCACTGTTCTCAGAAGTGCCTAATTATTTTTTTTTAAATTCTAATATATCTTTTGTTGACAAATGCTAGAGCTATCTCATTATTGCAAAATCCTGTTAACGTTTTTCATATTTATAATAATATCTGGTTAGTTATCTCGGCATTGAATATTCGTCATTTAGTAATACAAAAGTGCACAACCAATAACTAACTATAAATAGTAAAATGAACTGTATAAGCCTGTTGCAGGGTGTAATAATAATGTCCTCCAAACCGACATTCGGTCAAGGTGGCCTGTCTCAATGGAGACATCAGGACAAGATTATAGTACCCAAGTGTATACGCAAGCACAGGTGCACTCTTTATTACCTCACTCTCATAGTTCAATGAGACGGTAATTCGACACAACCGGAGAGAGATCAGGCGCAGGACCATCGGATTTACGTGCTTTTCGAGGCACGGGGATAAAACACCACCAACCTTTTAACACCGGGCTGCTACTGAGAATTTGTTGACGGAAAAACCCAGTAACTGATTTTGACTCGACCCGGGATTCGAATTTCGGACCTCATAATCAGCAATTGCGTTTACGACCACTAGACCAACGTGGAAATCAAGGACTCTTTAAAGCTATTGACAGGACTACTCTAAAAGTTTCTTCACAAGATGATATATGAAAGAATCTTACCAAAGTCTTGCGCTGCAGAACTAGATTACTTATTTAATCCAGTATTAGTTTGTTACGGTAAGCCAGTGTCATTTACCATTAGTGGCTATATCACCACTTACGAGCAGGTGGGTCCTAAATCAAGCACTGACTTAAAGTAAATAAAAAATAAAAAAGAATTATTGTTTACACTAACTCATTTCACTATGGGAATATATCTCTCTCTAAATTGCACCGAATTAATGCTATACTTTAGAAAATTAAGTCAGCGTTGCGGTAAGGTTTGTTTAAGTGCTCGAATTAATGTTGTGTATAATTTAAATTAGAATACAAGCGATATGCGAACTTCTCATAGAACTGTAAGTAATTATTAGTAGAAAATGCGATATTAATATAGTTTTTATGTTAGGCAACTTTAACGCAGACCCGGGGAAGCTGTTTTTTAATGAAATGCTTAGTTTTTATGGCGAGTAGACGTGGGTATATGCTGACTATGAAATTTTGTCGAGTAATTCGAATGTGTATAATAGACTTGTTATCAGAAAGATGCAGCAGCTCGTCTCCTGTTTCAGTTTCCCTCTGTCAACTTTTATGACATCCACGGGACGATATGGGGTAGTGGATAATCTCACACCACCATCACACGGTTATAAAATATGAGGATATGGGCGATAAAATATTTTTTAACGTCACCGTGCTGATAATTTTAAAATTTTGGTAAATAAATCGATTTACAATTATTGGCTTTTTATGAAGATAAGCAAAAATGATTGGACGACACAGAATTCACAATCAGTGAGCAAAGACCCTGATTTCAGTCGGTTGCAGAAGTAGGTAATATTCAACAATCATTTACCCACGTCATATTTATTTTGAAAGTTTTTTGGTTCATAAAACATTTGCAATTACCACAAACCATCGCAGCTTAGTGCTGCTATATACCCACAAAGGATTTACGTTCAACTGCCTTATATTACAAATTTCACCGGGAGAGGCGCAACCAAATCCCACTTCACAAACGGCCGCTAGTCTTAACATTATATCGAAGTCGTTCGCTTTCATAGCTGAAAAGTATAAAGCGAGTGAATATTATTAATACTAATGTGCTCCGAACCGGATTTCGGTTGTGTACAGCAGCCATGACAGGCACTACAAAGTATACTCTGCATTCCCTTACTCATCTAAATCTAGATGGACACAAACCCCTTATAAAACTTTTCAAGTACGGTTACTGGATTAAGCGTTTGATTACGATGCTGTTTGTATAACCATATATTTTTTTAGATGTTTGTCCATGTATCATTTAATTAATATTAGGCCTTAAGAGGG